TGTTGGATTGGACTGGACTCGAGTCCTGACTGGACGTTGGACCTCGGAACGTACCATGAATAGAATCAACAGTCAACAGCTTCCGTTTACGATTCGATGATTGGAACCATGAACATCGTAGCTGTGGTGGTGATGATGAGGAGGCCTGCAGCATTGATCAGGGCCGTCAAGAGATCGTCGAGCCACCACCGCTTCCGGGTACAACCCTCCACTTCATTGACGTCGGCAGTGAGCTCCTCGGCATTCTCCTTTGTGTCGGACACTGCATTCCGTTTCCCGCTAGCCTTCGCCTTCGCCTTGGAGGAGGAAGCCTTCTTTGATTTTTTCTTTGGCTGAAGCAGTTCCGACACGTCGACGACCGCTTCGGATGTACCCTCCTCGATGGGGCGGCGGCTCCCTTTCAGGATCTTGGAAGCGAAGGCAGCTCCCCCGATCTCCGCCTTAAGCCGGTCGATGATCGCGGGCTGATGCTTGGCAAAGATCCAGTCAGGCATCTTCAATTCGTCATCTGGCACCGTTGGCACCTTTTCTTCTCACTAGTCCGTCGCTCGGGTTGTTACTTAAAGGACTTAGAGGATCGACCTGCTCTAGCTAGGTGCTCGCGACACAACAAAGCAATGCAGTGCAGTGGGCAATACAGTCAGCAAGCTTGGCAACTATTTTGTTCTCATGGCTCCACGGCTTGCCGGGGCCCGGACCAAAAGCCGACAGGCAGCTAGGAAAACCTGTGCCAAAAGTCCATGGTGATATGTCGTCGCCAAAGTGGTGACGACCTTGCCGAGGCTGTGCATGTTCTGCAAGACTGGAAGCGACTGTAGATTCTTGTTCTCGAAGTCACACACGTCTCCCAGCTCATTGAAATCATTCAAAGCATCGAGATCTGCGACGTAGTGTCGCACTCGCTTGCTGAGATCAAACAACTGAAATGTTCCATACCTCTGCGAGTAGTTCTCCTTAACCCAAGCGGCATATTGCTTCTGATACTGACTGTTCGTAGACGTAATTCCCTCCTTCTGAGCATGTCGAGTCCATGCCTGTGGCACATCTGCAGTTGTCTTGTCGAGTTATTAAATTATTAATAACGAAGAATAGAAGCTACCACGGCACAGCAAAGCACAGCCCGAACTACAACGGCACAGCTGGCACAGCACAACGAATGCAGGCTGCAATCTGCAGTACACAATCCACAATTCACAGAACTGCGGCCTGTTCGACTTCGCCTGACCCCATAATCGATTCCAACCAGGTCGGAGCCAACCCGCCATGGAAGCAATTATGCAAATCTCTCAAGTACCTGCACGGGGGCCAAAATACTACTTGCCGCCACGCCCTACTGAATCATGTGGTGTGCACTATGGTCTGCGGGCATTGCAAGCACATGGGCCGAGACTGCAGCCGCTAGCACCGGACAAATTCTGAGCAGTGTCACAGACAGACAAACACATGTCATATTTGCACATGACAAACCCCTATGTGCCCAACCTCGCGACATCAGCAGGCATCTTCGTTGAAAAAATCCTGCAATCCGGAAGTCCGTTTTNNACACGTGGATTCTTGGGCGTCTCGGCGTGTGCAACGTAGAGGGCCTCGCACCTCGAACGATTCAATTCGTTTGCATTGCTCCCGGGCTCCCGGGTGCTCCCTCCCTTCATCCCTTCCTCCCTCCCTTCAATCCCTCATCCCTCATGCCTCATCCCGCCTCATCCCTCATCATCCCTCATCTCTCTCTCTCTGTCTCTTTCTCTTTCTCTCTCAATCTCTTTCTCTCACTCTCTGTCTCTCTCTTATCTCTCGACACTCTCTCTCACTCTATCGATGTGGCCATGCTGACCCTGCTGAGACCATGTTGACTCATGTTGACCATGTTGACACGAACTAGAAGCACCGCCGTGCAGCACTAGTGCAGCACCACCGGCAATGGCTTGACGTCTCCGGTTCGATACATACCCCTAGCCCGGCCCTAGCCCGCCCTAACCCCAACCCTACTTCCGGTGCAGGAAACTTATTTGGACGAGAAGCAAAGTCCCACAGCTCAGAGCATGATAAGTTTGTGTAGTCTCGTCGAAGGTGAACCACGGCTCGCCTCGCACTGATTGGATTATTCCTGACTCTTGGATACGTCGCACGTAGCTTCGCATTGCTGACCCCGTCTTTCGTTGGTTGAGTGGATGCCGTGCAATGGCTGGCTGCCCGTTGGACTTGAAAAATTGCACTGTCCGCCTCGGTCCATCCTGCAGGCAGTCGCTCGCGAAGCTTGGCTTGACATGACATGATGCAAGCAAACACAAACGATTTAAAGGAACACTAGGAACAAACACACATCATTGTCAATCGTGGTCAGAGCGACAGCCACAGGATCACAGGATGCATGTCAGTGCAACATTGCTGCAACGAATTGCAACGAACATAGGAAACACAGAAACACACACAGACACACAGTACACTCAGGACTCAGCACACGTACAGTCACACACAGACACACAGTCACACACACACAGGCACACACACACACGAATACTTACACATGCATACACAGACACACAAACTGTGACTAGCCGGAAAGCGTGTAGCTGGCAGGCTGGCAGGCATTAGCTGCTGGCATGACAAAGCTCGCCGGCAATCAACAACAGATTGCAAGACTATGCAGCTCTGGCTTTCTCTGGGCCCCCTGGGTGCAAACAAGAGGTCGTAAGCAGCGGCAGCAACGGCCCCGGCAATGCACTCGCAGTGCACTCGCAGGCAAGCACAAGCATCCTGCAACACGACTAAGATCACATGATGATGTTTGATTCACAGACACAATTCACACAGCTAGCAGGTAGCAGTCTCGGCAGCAGTAGCAGATCACCGCAAACGACGACTGGCGCCTATGTCATGGCCGCCATGGCCTATATCATGACACTGCCCTAGTGCAGAGCTCCCGAAACATCAGCATGACAACATGAGAACACAAACGGACAGATGGAGGTCTGCACTGCAACATTCAGCAAGGAGCACTGCGACAAAGCTCATGCGGCATGCAGGCAAGGCAGCAATCAATCAGATGGAAATGGTTTCAATTCTGACAGCATCACCGCATCACCCAAGGGCGTGAATACCCGCCTGGTAGCTTTCGAAAATACGGTTCAGGAGCAACACCCCCGTCTCGGCGAACCTCTCCGAGATCTGCATGTCCTCTCCGAAAAGCACCTCGTGTGCTCTCTTGTACCTTGCCGAGGCACAGGCACAGGCACAGGCACACAAACAACCCGAAAAAAGACGAACCCACTGCTAACTTGCTAACTGTGGCTCAGCCTGGTCTAGCAGCATACAAAATTACACTAGCATACCGGCATATACCGAAAGCACTGACCGAGGCATTGCCGGGGCATGGACGAATCCTCGCTGGTCATCTTCTTCTCAGCAGCCGAAAAAGCATCGGCAGGTGGCTTGGGCGCCGATGACTCACTCATCCTGGACCACAAGAACTCAACAAAACAACCACACATCAACAAGCACCTGGCACTAGCAATGCTCTAGACCTTGGCGAAGGCTCTCACGGCTACCCACCCCCCGCTGACCCAAAGCTTCCTTCCGATTTTCAGCACTGCACTGGGAGTGGACTTCAAACCGGTTCCCTAAACCCCCAAACACCCAAACCCCTAAATCCGTAAACTCGTAAACCCCTAAACCCCTGGTCCCCTCAACCCTAATCCCTTACACCTAAGCCTAAACCCCTAAACCCTAAAACCATAAACCCTAAACTCCTACCAATCCCTGAACCCCTCAGCCCCTCAGCCCCGAAAACCCTAGAATCTTAAACCCCTAGGCCCTAAACCCCTAACCCTAGGCCCCTCTTCCCAATCACTATAGTCGCAATAGCCGCAATAGCATATAACTCACAACATAAAGCAGATTGCTAGTATACTTAATCCTTGCAAATTGTCAATCCTTGCTGAAACATTACCGCACAATGCCCGGCGACGCCCTCTGACTCTCAACGGCTGCTCCTGGGCAGCGATGCAGCGATGCAGGAGCCAGGGCCAGGCAAGCACAAGTACAGGTACCGGCACGTGACAACACTGCAAACTTCACTGAAAGCCGAAAACAGTCCAAGCATGGCCAGCAGAGCCATCAGGCCATCCCAATTTGATTCTACCAAGTCCACCAGTTGTCCACCAATTCTAAGTTACGAAGCTCCTGCTGTCCGAAGACTGCAAGCACTGCAAGCACTGCTGCAAGCACCAAAGAAACGACTGAGTCAGAGTCAGCTGATATGCGATTTTTTTCTTGCAAAGCAAAACACAACCGGGCACACCAATCACGGCCGCACTGTCAGCTGAGAAAGTGCAGGACCTCAGGACATCCGAAGCTGTGCACACTGGCAACAGGCTGTTCAAGCTCTCAAGCGAACAGAAACACGGTGGAACATGACAAATATGTTGACTGGCCGAGAATCGAATGGTTCAGCCGCTTATACACATGTTGGCCGTGGCAGCACTTCTACGGACCAAAAACTTGACACACAACACAGCAGCTGCAATCGCCTAAGTACATTTCCTGCAAAAACAAGGAGCTGCTGGGCCAGGCCCCGGGCAACCGCAGATTTCGTAATCTGCACTTGAATCAGTCGCATCCAACCTGCACCCAAAAGCCGAAAAGGAGAAGCTCAAAGCTGCACTGGACCTCTCAAGCAGCCTAATGACATGTCATCTACATCAAGTCTTGGCTGGGCCGTCCTGCATGGCAAGTGACAGCTACGACAGTAGACACAGTAGCTGCAGCTACATCTGGCACTTCTCGACTCAACCTCTACTTCGCACCGATTTTCCGCTGAAAGCAGCTGACTGTACGGAATCCGCTGATGACGCTTGAAGTTCAACTTCTTCCGAATCTCTGTGTTTATCTTTACAGCCTCCTGAGCACCCGGAAGATACTTCACCACCCAGGCACGGATGGCCTGGGCTCTAGCTCGCTCCTTCATCGTCACGGCCTTGCCTGGATGACACCCCGCCAAAGCCTTGGCACTAAAGTTGCCATCCACCGCACGTAGTTTCTCCTTCAGCTCCTCCTCAGGAGGCTTGCTCCGCACGACTGGTATCCGTGCCCTTGCCTTCCGTCTCAAGATCTTCGCAGCTGGCTCAGTCGACCGCAAGGGTGCTTTCGACTGACTCGACGTCGATTTAAGCTGCTTTGTTGGGAGCAGCCTTTGGGATGTTGAAGACGACGACGAGGATGATCTTGTCTTGGCCGAGGACGATGATGAGGACTCGGACTCTGAGCTTGAAGAGGCTGATCCCGAGGTATAAGCAGAAGCACTGGAAAAAGATGACTCTGTCTTCCGAACTTTTCGGTGCCGGCGGCGGCCCACGGACAAACCTGACAAGTCCTTTCCGTTTTGGTCGTCTCCGCACAGCAGCTGGCAAAGAGGTGCTCGTGATGGCTTAGGCCGGGCAGCCATGGCACGAAAGAATACAGACTCATGAGACACATGAAGTGATGTGGACAAGTAGACTGGGCTTTGCTGAAGCTCTGAATGTGTCCT